AGCTCTGCGCGATTTGCATTTCGCCTTCATGATTCTATTATAGCACGAGATTCAACAGAAGGCAAATTGTAAAGCGCGAGAAAAGGAAGAGCCACAAAGAACTTTTATGATACAGAGCGGAAATCCGTAACAAATTTCAAACTCTTTTTGCCAATTAATTACGTTATTCCTGAGAGTCACACGTTACACAACGTTAAAATCGGAGCCATCCTTTTTGACAACGAATTAATAAATTCGCACAATCTTAATCGTGCAGATATTCTCAATCTTTCTCTAAGACGGACACACGTTTGTAATCTTCATCATAAATTTAGACTATATGAGATCGTGACACGTTCCGAACATCTTCGCCATAAATCGTAATATCGACGTAATCCATTTATAGGATAAATTCAATCAATATCTGTCCGGTGCGTGCAGGACGTGTCTTATATGGCGACGTCAGGCGCTTTTTGCCACAACCATAAATCGCGGCCTATGATGAGCTACATGTGTCGACGGCATGTCACGGTTTCTTGCGAAAACGTGAGCCGCGACCCAATGGGCCTCGCGTGATTTTTACATCTTGTTTGCTTCCACGAGGTCCTGCAAGCCCACACTCGTTCCCGCGAGTCTGTATGGCGCTCCGTGTTATTCCGCAGTCTTCGAGTTCCTCAGGATTGTTCTGCCTGTTCTTCGCTACCCTTTGCCTTTCTTACTCTCGAGCCTAGCCGAGTTGTCGCCACGATCATTCGTAAGGTCATCAAGAGATACTTCGTCATCGTATATCAAGAAACATCGTTCAGAAATATATTAAAGATAAAATTTAAAAAATATATATTTTTTAAACATATGATATAAGTTTTGTAATATTTTGAATATAATATCTAAAGGTGTTAAATTATTGAAACTTTTAAAAATAATACACAGTGATAAATGTTAATATTATTCTCGTTTATATAAATCGCAATTGTTCTTGAATGAGCAATTTAATTTTCTGTACGTCTATTAAGAGTGAAAGCCGTTTTAAAGCCAAACGCTCCTTTAAACCCGCACTTTTCTCTACACTTGACATCTTAAGTTGCTGAAATGGCAATCTCTGTCTCAGCACAAGTAATAAATCCATCTTCCTGTTCTTTATAACATTTGTAATGAATCATTGTAAGCGATTTTACATCCAGCCTATCACTTGACATCATGGACCACCATCTTATGTCAAATGGCTGTATTACGACACATCTACATAAATCAACACGTCGCCGATATCGTCGTCGGGGACCACCATCGCCAGTACGTCGTTTTAGATTCCACGTGTAGGTGGTTACACCATAACTCGTTCTGTCCCCCGACAGATACTCGGGTCGCGACAGTAGCAATAATTCCTAACGATTTTATCTCTGTGGAATTTTAGCCGAGACGCAAATGTCCCTCGTAAAGATGCGCGACGATGCCGCTTAGGACAATCTCGAAAACGGTATGGTCGCGGAGATCGCGACTTTTTGCTCTACATCGCTTCATCGAGGATCTACATCGAAAGGCCAACCGTTCGTTCGACGAACTGTTTCATAATAAAACTTATACCCTAGTATTGGCACAATTTTTTCAAACCAGAATTATCAAGTAGTCTGTAAACTTGATTTGAAATCTAGAATACCTTTTATATATAAAATCTCATTTTAAGGAGTAAAAATTCAGCTGGTTTTGAAAAAGAGCAATCCAATTTTCGATCTTTAAGAGTGAAAGTCACTCTAAAATTTTTGGAGAACATACATTATAGTCTTGTAACGATTTCTTGCAATAATTTAATAGATAATAGGATTTTGTTGTTCGTGTTGATAATTGTTGTCATTTGTATTCGTCGATTTAAAGAAATTATTTTAAATAAGAATTTAATATAAGAACTTAGATAAATTAATTCATTTTTATTAATAAAACATCAACAAAAAATAAATATATCATTGCGATTGAAAATATAGCGATGTATAATTGACATATATAGCTAGAAAAAAAAATTGTCCCATCTATTTTATTTTCCGCGAAGGTTTCGCAAGACTACATAAAAGGGTTTGGACTCAAAATATTTCGTATCTGTTTCATAATAAAACTTATCGTTCCTAAATCTGTTTCGACTGCCGGGTTGAAGAGACAGATTCCAAAGCAGTACGCGAGTACGACCTAAGGAACTCAATGTATGCGCGCGTGTTTACCCTGCGGGTACACTCTGACTGCACCTCCAACTTGCTATTTGAACGAGTCGATAAAACCGCCGTCGAACTATTTATCGTACGCGGAACAAGCGAGAATGATGTACTCGCTTCGTTGACAGCAAACAATTGCTGTACCGGGAGATTATCGAGTCGCGCTTTTTATCCTTCATCTGAACTTTCCTCGTACTGTGTCTTTCACCGCGTCGCATTCTTTCTCACACATTCTTCCATCGTTTCGTTCTTCTATGACCTCGCGCATGCCGATAACAGTATATTTCCGTGCCTTCAAGAAACAAGACCGCGACTTGCTTATCTACGAGTGAGACGGTCCGATTGTTTGAAAATCATAAATCCTGTAGAAACCAAGAAAAATCGAACGGATTGGTTTCCACGAATCACAAAATCCATGACGAGGCAATGAGTTTATCGAGGGCGTTTGTTGCAAATGATTAACCCACGTTCTTAAGACATGATTCAACGAACACTATGACTTCGTATATCTAAAAAAAAAAAAAACGGAAAAAAGAGAAATAGGAAAGGAAAAAAAAGAAATTCTCTAAAACTTTTAGAATGAACTGTCTCTGATGAAATTTTACTTTTAAATATTGAAAATTAAGCTTTTTTCTCAGAACTAAATCGATTTTTACTCTTTAGAGTGACATTTCAGTCCAAAGAATTTAGAGTAACAAATCTATTTTATTCTGCAGCAAATTTCTTTTCTTTCCCTTTATTCTTTCCTTTTTATTCTTCTTCTTTTCTCTGTTTCCTTTTTTAAAATAGATAAAAAAGAATGCAAAGAATGCACATAAAATACTGTGAAGCACCAACAGCAAAGATTACATCAATAACAGGATGACAGAATTTATTTTCTTGAAGCAAAGAAAACTGCTAGAAAATAAATATGCAATTTTTTGTGCCTCAATAATTTTTGAAATTGAATGGTTTTGTTAAAGGAATGTTAAATAATTAGCAAATGCTATGTTACAACACGTAGCCATACCTCTTCCTGTCTACTCGACAAATTCATCTCCTCAGCTGTCCTTGTTAAACGAATTTGTGACACTTTCATGCTCTCTCGTTGTTAGTCTTTAGAATCACGCGAGAACGTCTCGACTAGAAGGCAACGCGATTACTAACGGTGTAATCCATTCAGTCATGGTAGTCTGACATTATGATAAATAATATCTGGAACTGATCGAATTTAGGATGAGAGAGGAAATAGAGAGAAGGCAAGGATTCACCGTAACAACGAGCTGTGTAACGGCATAAATCCTCTTCTTTCTGTTTTTCTTCAACGCACCTGCCTTCCCACTTCTGCCAACGCCAACTCTGCATTAATATTAAAGAAAATCATCGGTCATTTTTCTGCTTCTTTCCTTTCTTCTATGATTTTGTTCGACCATGTTCTATCTGTTCTCAATGCTCACTACTGTTAAGAAGAGAACTCGAGATGTCACTGTCGTAACGTAAAAGACTCGTAACGAATCTAGAATTTCGAACCCAGGATGGTTTGTTACGGACGATGCCATCGTGCCACCGTTGATCCGTCGTTGAATCGTTTAACGTCGTATTCTTGTTCAATTTTACGGATTCTATCATTTCGATACGCACGTGCATTTAATCGGCCGAGGAAAGTTTCCCATCGACTTATAGTCGATCATTCTGAAGAAGTAGCTTAGAATAGGTAGCTTAAATAGAAAATGCTACAAACTTTCTAATCTCCTTGGCTTACCTCTTTATACAACATTCAATAATTTGCGTCAGATGTGATACAGTTATTATTGTAAAAATGTCGTATATATAGAAATTTACCTAATAAATCAATTTAGGACGTACATATTATTTATTGTATTATATACAATATATATATAATATATTATTATATTATTATTAAAAAGTACATAAAATAATATATTTCTCTCTCTCTCTCTCTCTCTCTCTCTCTCTCTCTCTCTCTCTAACTCTCTCTCTAAATGCATTATTATATTTTAATTAAATAAAAAGATACTTGTAAATAACAACAATTAATAAAAATAATTTTTTAACTTCATAAAATTTAACTTAAAAAAATATAAAACACCATGTAATATTTTTTCACTAATGGGACAATGTAACACTGTCTCGGAATGGTGCGAGCTCACAATTTATGAAATTGTTTCGTCCGCTCTTCTCTCGCATGATATCTTCACCGACACAAAAGGAGCCGGCACGCACCTGCACCTTATGCAGATAAGGTTGAGGTGCTTCAGGTCAGCCCACTCAGGGTTAAGGTCATGTACCGTCTTTTACCTCTCGCTCTTTCTTTCTTTCTCTCTTCCTCTGTCGTTCCTCTTGTCGCTCTCTCTCTTATGCACACTCCCGTTCTCCCTCGCTTCCACCTGCGAGAACTTCTCGCGCAGGTAGTCTCTCGCGGAGGATTGAGACGTTGCCTGACGTCACCACTCACCTCCTACACGACCAAACACCGTGAAAGTTTTGTCAGCACTCCCAGTCAGTAGAAAAATATTGATAATTATCAAGAAGAAAATTAACATTTCATCAAAAATTCGTCACACTTCTTTCAATAGAAAAATAATTGCTGAGGGTTTATTTTTATCAGAAATATTCAAGAATAATTATACAACTGGATAAATAAAATTAAAAACTGAAAAATTTAACGATGCAATATTTACAATAAAAGTAATAATACGTGTAATAGTTGATTTTAATAGAATTTGAATCTGCGTTTTCTCTGTTCGCATTTTCCATGCGCTGAAGGAGGAATTTAGTTTCCAACACGTCGCGCATCGTGAATTTTTCGTGATTTTCTTACAGGATGTCGAGAGACTGCTTTCATCTACGCCATCACGAGTGCAGCAGTGACTCATAGTATCGCTAGGGCATGTAGCGAAGGCAGCATCCAATCGTGTTCCTGTGATTACACTCACCAGTCACGAGTATCATCTGCCGTTCGAGATTGGGAATGGGGTGGTTGCTCGGATAACATTGGATATGGCTTCAAGTTTTCTCGCGAATTCGTCGATACTGGCGAACGTGGCCGAAATCTCCGTGAGAAGATGAATCTACATAACAATGAGGCCGGCAGAGCAGTAAGCTTTTTTTTCAAATTTCGTTTTATTTAAATATGTAAAAGAAAAGAATGAAAATGTTAAAGTTACTCTTCTAAATAATATTTCATTTGTGATTTAAATTCAGATAAAAAC